CCCCTCCGCGTTCACTTCTGCCGGCGCCCGAGAGAGGGGCTACGGAGGCCCCGGGCTCAAGGCGCGGAAGGATCAGGCGGAGAAAAAAGTCTCGTGATGCCGAGGGAGGCCGCGAAGAAGTCCCGGCAGGGAGGTGGGAGGAGGTGGATCACGTGATGCGGAGGAATGGCTGGCGAGGGCGCTTGCGGGGTGGTAAACAAGGAGCGGGGTGGGGCTAGCGGGCTGCCGAGCCACGCCCACCTGGTTGCCCGGGGCAACCGGGGTTGAGCCAGCGTAATCCTTTGCATTAGAGCATCTATGGAGGATTTTTGGGGAAGGTCGCAGGTGTTGCCCCCTGGGTCTCCCTTTCTAACCAAGAGGGGCCTTTGCTGAACCTGGTTTGTTGCAGAAGCCACAATGGGCTGGGCTGACCTACCACGCAAAGCCAGCCCCCCTCGTTTACAGGCAAAAGTGGCTGCCATCACCAAACCTTCCAACCCAAGCATGCAAACTCCATCATGGCTTGTTCAAACCTAGCCAGGATCCCATGGCCTGTTCAAAATACTGGCCCGCTTTGTACACCCCAGCCTGCACCCTGCTAGTCTGCAGGCGTCTGTCTTCATCTGCTCATCCTCACCCGGCTTTCAGAGACTTTTCCAACATTTACAACTCGTAATCTTGACAGTCACCCAGCAGCACTTTCTATAATTATTATAAATGGTTACAAAGGTCAAAGGAAAAAGCATAAATGTTTCTAAAATCAATAGAAGAGAGTTCCCAGGGATGCTCTAAGGGCAAATAATAAAATACTATCCAAACAAAGGAACCCTAAATATTAAAAACTAACAGCAGGATGATATGAGTATGAATTAAGCACTAAAAGGTTTTTAGTGCCTCTTAGGGTTTTGTTTTTTTTTAAGGTTTACAACTTCATTTAATGGTTCTATATTTAGTATTTTGCTTGATGGCATCGATCCAGCATGGGCTACTCCAGCTTCATCTTCTAATACCTGCAACCGTTCCTGCCATAACCAGTTATTTGAAGCAAGCTGGTTGCATGACCTGTCCAAAAGAAGACCCCCTTAGCTTGGCCATCTTAGCTTCTGGCAATATTTCTGGCTTGAAAGGGGTCTCCAAGCTCCACATTCATTATTTTTGCTGTCCAAGGTACCCACGATAGCTGTCTCCAAACCCATATTCCAGATCTGTTCAAAATCACCATCCCAATGCTAGCCAGCCAGCATGAGCATTCAAAAAATTGTGATTTATTGTCTTGCAAAAACTATACAGAGTTGGACTACTTAGATGACGACAAAGACAGAAAAAATAACCCGAAAAACGAAACATTTATGCAATATATATTTCTCCACTCTAAAGCCAGGTTATAGCAAACATTATATTGTATAAACAAAGTTGAGATTGTACTGTCGTTGATTTTATCTCTTCCGTAAACCGCCCAGAGTCGCTTTTTAATAAGATGGGCGGTGACAAGTTTGATATATATAAATAAAAAATAAATACATTATGGCTGGGTTCATATAATATCCAGTTCCCAAACAAAGGAATCATATTATGGTAGAGTGTCCCGATTCACCCAAAAGACTGAGTTTCTCTCCACCTACAGAACCCCAAACCAACCAACCCTGTTTTAACCTAGCTTAGCATTGTAAGAAACTGCGGCTCATTTTAATCATCATCCTAAAACAAAACTAAAACATTTCTTATATTGCCACCATGTGGGGAAAGAATGCATTGTAGATCTAAGAAATTTTTTTGGGGGGGGTATTCTTTTTTAATTATGTTGTAAATCTTAATCCATTCTCTTGTTTCAATACAGTGATATATATGCAATATTAATTGAAGATTATTGACACTCTATTGTTTGACACTTCTTAAAGTCGCCAAGTTGAGAAACACTGGTTTAGAGTTTTGCAGTCCTCATACGCTAGTCCAACGCTAAACTCTAAAGCTGGATTAACCAAATGGCTGCGTTCACACAACACGTAATGCCCTAATTAATGAAACCATGTTATGGCTTAATTAATACAATAGCCTGCTTTATAGAACTTGCTAAAATCACAGCTAAGATTCCATAACACACTGAACCACAAAGGTGCATTAACTGCATTTTAACCTAGTCTAGTGTATTGTGGGACCTCAGTTTTACATAGCATAGGAGGGGAGATTATCCTTGTTCGCTCTATAAAAAGTCCAAGAACAGACTTGGGCACACTTAACTTTGCCAGAGAATCGAACAGGGGGCTGGTTCCTCCAGGAAAATCACAGACAAGTAAAATCAGGGTTACAACTTTGAAGCAACAGCTTTAAAGATAGTCTGCAATCCAGAATTATGGGTATGTATTTCATAGTTTTGCCTTGCTCTGTGAGTTTCCCTTCATCTCACCCCTGTGAAAGTTTGTCTTGCTCCAAGGGGGGAACAAAATCAGCAACTCTAACCCAATCCCCCTTTATAAATTACAATTAATTTCCATTGTGGTCTTGGACACAGAAGGTTGTTCTCGTTCTCCTGCTGGGCTGGAGATGTTTACGTTTGTTTCATTTTCCCAGCAGGGTTTTAAAAAGAAAAGGAATCACCATAAATGATCATGGGCTCAAGAAAAGTTATGGGTAGAAGCAATTAGCAATATGACTTTTCTTAGACTTCATTAGCATAGCTTTACATGGGAGTGAAGAAATTAGTGCACTCCGGGTAGAAAGGCGGGGGGATGAAATTTCTAGCTGCAGTTGGAGCAACTAGAACAAAAAACTCAGAAAAAAATGCATAAAAGGGTTTTTTTTCTTTTATGATATTGTCCTTGTTTCATCTCGCTAGGCAACAGGCATCCCATGTTTATTTATTGTGTCTCTTTGGTACAACAGGGTGTAAAGTCCTTTAAAAACCAGTTCTAATTGGTCAGGTTTCTCTTCCCAGGATCATAAAGCACTTTCCCTTTTTGTCCTGTGCGTCTGGTGACCACAGATAGGTTTCATATAGATATGGAAGCTTGATTCTTAGATAGCCTCAACTATTTCACAGAGGAAAATTGAGGGCAATTTTGCAAAATCTATACCCAAGTAACTGTATCTGGAGGCTTGAATAAAGCACTCTCTGAGACACCTCCTTAAATTGGGGCCATGACTGTAGAGGTGCTCCTAGTATGTTGATGGCTAGAGTTTCCTGACCTTGTTCTCTGATCCCCTCCCGACTGAAAGGTTGCCCCAAGCCCAACCTTTGTGGATTGTAAGTAACCTTCATATGTGAATCCAACTTTTGTGTCTTATTCAACAAACCACAAATTGCCACCTCTGTATCGTAATAAGGGCAAACCGTTTGTTCATATTTCACTTTGCCTTTGGGGTAAGCCAGTAGTTAGGACGTGGGGAGAGAAGTAAGGAAGAAATAAGTCCATTCACTGAGTAGGCTTACTGAAAACCCTTGCCACTGATTCACTGATTATGTACCATCAAGTTGGTGTCAACTCTTAGCAACCACATAGCTAGACCATCTGGATGATCTATCACCAACATGGTCCTTCAGATTTTCCAAAGGTGCACTAGCACCACTGTAATTGAGGCCATCTACCTTGGTGCTGGATGTCCTCTTCTTCTCTTTGCTTCTACCTTTCCCAGCATGATGCATTTCTCTAAGGATTGTTTGGTGTGCCTGGATAGAGATTGATTGATTGATTGATTGATTGATTGATTGATTGATTGATTGATTGATTGATTGATTGATTGATTGATTGATTGATTGATTGATTGATTGATTGATTGATTGATTGATTGATTGATTGATTGATTGATTGATTGATTGATTGATTGATTGATTCATTCATTCATTCATTCATACATTCTGTGCCACCAAGACAGTACTGACTTTTAGGGACTACATAGATAGATCAGAATGATCTGCCCCCAACCTGGTCCTTCAAATCTTCCAATGGTGCACCCATCACTGCTGAAATTAAATCCATCTGCCTTGCTGTTGGTCATCTTCTTCTCTTTCCTTCCACCTTTCCCAGCATTATGAACTTCTCCAGAGAGCTTGATCTTCAGAGAATGTGTCCAAACTCAAGGACCCCTGCAAAACTGGAACCAATATTAGGGAGGCTTTCTAGACAGACAACAATGGTGGCTATCTTGAACAACATCATGTATCTAGGCCTAGCAATCCTTTACACTTCCCATAATGCCCAGGGAAGATGTTTTTCAGAGGCATTGTGTGAAAATAGGTCCCTGGGAAGGGAAAACTCACGTCAAGCCTTAATCAGGAAAAAAGTAAAATCAGGAGGAAGAGCCACGCAGCAGAATTTTCTTGATATGCTTGGAAAAATCTTTGCTAATCCACCAACCCAAGCATGAGCTGGAAAAAGAAAATTAAAAGGCTCCAGAGCAGATACAGATGTGATCTTTGAACAGGTATGCCCAGAGATGCTTTGGGGTGGTGGATTAGCAAAGATTTTTCCAAGCATATCAAGAAAACTCTGCTGCGTGGCTCTTCCTCCTGATTTTACTTTTTTCCTGATTAAGGCTTGACGTGAGTTTTCCCTTCCCAGGGACCTATTTTCACACTTAGCGAGAAAGAAAGAACCTCAAGCGTCCTGTTGAAAAAGATGCAAATGATTGCCTTACCATCCCTCTGAGGGCATTGTTTCCTTAATGCAAAACAGGGCAAGATCACTGCATAATTAACAGAGGAAGAAAGAAGTAACAGGGGAAGCTGTTGCCAAAATAAAGAGGAAAGACAGAGATGCTCGATAGACAAAGGGGTCAGGTTCCAGCCTTGCAAACCTTAAACAGGGAACTGCCTCTTTGTTCCTCAGAGGACCTTTAGGGAAAGGAAAAGGAGAAGGCCAGAACAAGACTTAAGCTGGGAGATTGTGAGAATCCTGCCTTAGGCATGAAGCCAGTTGGGTGACTTTGAGCCAGTCCCTCCCTCTCAGCCCTAGGAAAAGGTTATGGGCAAACCACTTCCTAAAAACATTGCCAAGAAAACATATATATGATTTCAGGTTGTGTCTCTGTGGCAATTTTAGATTATAAGCCGCAGGGATCTGGCCGCTCTAACTCTGAAATTGTAAAACCAACTGATGGCGTCATCATGTGATGGACAGTAGAGGTCAAGATCTATGAGTCTACCTGGTGATGACCGTGACCTGCTGAAGATGATGACCTGGAAAGGAACGTGGAAAAATTAAGTAAAGTCCCCATCAGGTCCTACTTGAATCCTGATGGTTCCGTGCAGTTTTCTTGGCAATGGTGGAAAAGTGGTTTGCCAATGCTTTCTGCTGGGATATTTTTTTATTTCCAGGCTTGAATGAATGAACGGGAGGAACTGAATGAAAAAGAGGTATGTTGTGGACACGTGAAACAAAGAAAAAGGGGAAAGATGTCATAGAACTGAATGATAGGGCTGATCTGGCACAATGGAATTGACTACATGCAGAGAAATGAAGGTGGACGTTTACATCTGAATGAAAAGGCTAAAATGTACATTGGAAACTATATGTCCACATTCTTAGATATAAACACACACCAAAAATGAATAGTGTGCTTGTGCTATTTGAAATACCACCAGAAGGTGGTACCAGAACCAGAATATTCCCCTAATTGCTAGCTATTCTACGAGCCACACAGAAAACAAAATACCTATTTGGAATATGCCGTTGCAGTGACCTATTAGGGAGACCACATCGTTATAGAAAGAGGACATTAAAGACCGTGCATGTTCTCCAGAACGTTTCACCAAGCTAGAGAGCCATACAGGCAAGGTGAAACAAAGCGGGGATGAAGAATGGGATTGCAGGAGGTGAAGAAGAATAAGCTGGAGTTGAAATGGATCTGGAGATGAAATGTGAGAAAAGCTTGGGGGAAAAGCCACCTTGGGTTCTGTGTGGTGGTCAAACCGTTTTAGGTGGCACCTGGAAGGGTGGTGGGACAAGGGAGAGTCCTGCTCTGCATAAGGAGAGTGAAAGGGCGATTGTGAAGTTCCTCCAATACCACTGGGTGAGAATCCTGCTTCGAACTTTGGGAAGGCTGGAGATCTAACTCCTGCCAAATTTCCTAAAAATCTTGGGTTGAGAAAACAAATAAGAGTTGATTTCTCTCCACCCATCCACCCATTTTTTAAAATAGAACATCCAACTGTTACAGAAACAGCTTTTATCTGCAGATGAAATATGCAGCTTCTTCAATCAACGGAAGACAGAAGTGGGCCTATCCAGGAGACTTTTTATGTACAAAATGGAGATAATTTCAAATTATCTACTAGAATTCCCCCCCACACCGCCCCACACCGCCTGGCAACACTATGGCTGCTGGCTTCTGGCTCCCCAAATTCCTAACTAGTATCCCATTTTTATTTTATTTTGCACGCACACAAAGAAAACCCTGAATTCCCTCCCCTGTATCTTATGTGCTAAGAGGACAAGGGACAGAAAAATCTTTCAGAAGTCGAATAAAAAGAACTTGCTTAGAAAAACTCTTAACAAGGACATTGTTTAGAATCAGTAAACAGATGTGTGTTGACTGACATTTTGGAGAAAAAAAACTGGGATATGAATATGCAGGAATGGAGTCTCCTGGAGAGGAAAAAAAGTTAAATGCTTCAGATTTATTTATTTTTATTTATTGGATTTCTCCCCTGCCCATCTCCCCCACAATAGGGGACTCTGGGCGACTTACAAAAAACATTAAAACTATAAATATATCTAAAACACATAAAACCGACTTACAAAAAACATTAAAACTATAAATATATCTAAAACACATAAAACCGACTTACAAAAAACATTAAAACTATAAATATATCTAAAACACATAAAACCGACTTACAAAAAACATTAAAACTATAAATATATCTAAAACACATAAAACATCCAAAATTGGCTGGCCAGAACCCTGAAAAGGAAGATTCTGGGCTGGAATTCTAGATATCTCCGGTAGTTTCAAAAATAGCTGGTCAATAGCAATTAATAGCTATCTGCTGGAGCTGCAAGCCCTAATCCTTGGATAACAAATATTTTCCAGATATCTTATGGTTAATTAATTAATAATTAGCATATATATATGGTTAATTATTAATTAGATGCCCAGAGTCATTGAGATTCGGATGGCATAAATCTTTAATAATAATAATAATAATAATAATAATAATAATAATAATAATTTGCCTTTCAGAAAAACAGTCCTTTGAAACTGGCTCAGAAGCAACATGAACACTATGAACAATCATTAATATCAGCTTGGGCTGATCCCCCAAACAGGGTTGACCCCTAAACAGGATTAGAGCTGTCTGGATAGGAGACCAACAAGAGTTATGGGCTTAAGTTGAAAGACACCCTTTGGAAGAAGTCCGTTGCAAATCCTTCCCTCCGATGGCTGAGAAAATGACTTGACGTATCCCTTAATGATCACCAGGCATCAAGCTAGATTTGAGGAAGCCTTTCCTAAAATAATTACTAGCACGGTGGAAGGGGCTGTAACAAAGATAAATACAGTAGCGTTATTCCTTCTTGCAAACCATCTTAGTGCTCGATCAACAGCAACATATCGCTTTGCAAGCAACGTTGGCTTTTTCCAGCTTCCGCGAGTGGCACATATTATATTTTCCTCCCCCCTGCTTTTTTTTTTTTTAAATCAGTATCTCAAAAGAACACTCCACCAAAACAGCCAGGCTGCTACTTCTGGACTTTGCAATTGAGAAATGCAAAAAGTTCTTCAACTTTTCGAAGTCTGGGTTGTTTTGATAAGCAAATACTGTCAAGGGTTTTGCGCTCTCATTGGTGAGGCTGCTCACCGCCAGATTTTGACATGAATAATCTGATTGAAAAATCAGGGAGGGGAATGAAGGGCCTGGAGGGGGGGGGGAGAAGAAAACTAAGAGTGAAATAGACAGAGAAAGGGATCTACCATTTGCAGAGAACAGGAGTGTGGAAAACTGAGGGAGGCAAAAGAACTAAAGGAGCCAGAACAAGCATCCTGTGGAGAAACCTTCAAGGCTAAACTTCTACCCTGCATGCAGGTGATTTCCTCTCTGCAAAGCATTAAAAAAAAAAAAATTAAATTGACCTGCAGAGCTTTACCTCTTCTTGCAAATGATGATCCCAAAGGATTTGGGAAGCCTTTTGTGGCAGTTGGGCTGGGTGGGGAATCTTTTTCCTGGATAGTTTGATCCTCCCCCACCCAATTTTTTTTTTTAAAGTTTTTAAGAAGTTATATGAGGCATCCCTTGCAAAAAGATTGGGTTAGGGTAAACTTGTCAGCTGGGGAACAGGGAGGTAGCTCTGTGATACATAGCTTAATTTTGGAGCTTCCAAACTAGTGGCCCCTGGTTGGGGTGGGGTGGGGTGGAGCAAATTAAAAACTCTTATTTTCATGACTTTGTAAATTGCTTTGGGGGCATTTCGGAGGAGGAACAGGGGATTGGAAAAATGCTTTGAACAAACATGTGAATCAAGGAATATGGGGCAGTTGCTAGTTTGGGTAACGTTTGCTGATCGCTGGAAATCAGGAATTGAACATGACGTTATAAGCGTATGCAGCAAAGAGACCTTGCTTGTCAATTCAGCTTGGATAAGAAAGCCTTAAGTCTGGAATCGTATACATGGGGCTGCGAAAATCTGGACAGCCACTAGGGGATACCTAAAGGGTCAAATTCTCCATAGCACATCTGGATTTTTGCAGCTCAGATCTGATCGCTTTACCTTAGATTATTATTTTGGGTTTCAGTTCTGATGGTTCCTTTAAGCCTTCTGTGTGTGTGAAGAGAGAGAAATCTCTCTGTTACGTGCATACTGACCTCTATGTTATAGTGTGGGTGTTTTTAAAAAGTGACGCTTAATTTGCACCGTTAATTTTGCTACGCCTAACAGTTGCAATGACATAGCCTGGGAATTTAGCTAATTTTATTCTTGCCTCTTCGTTTGCTTTAACGGTTTGGCATAAAGTGTGAACTTCTGAACCTGATGGTTGTTTTATGGTTCAGTATAGGGTACGAACCCAAAGAGGTAGATTTAATAATCAAGGTATGCACGTGTATACCTGTCCATATTTCTGCTAAATATATGCAATGGAAGGGTTCCGTGAAAATTGCTTTTAAAGGGTGTTTGTGCAGGGCAGTTAAAATCTGATAAATGTTGCCAGTTTGGGTGGGGCAAGTTTTTGCATCTTCTTCTTTATAATGGGTTTCTGTATTATTTGCATTTCACACGTCCAACGCTGATGAAAAATTCTTTTCTAACTGGGAATGAACAGAGTCATGCCAGATAAAAATCTTAGGGCGATCCTGCGACAAGGGGCAAAAAATGCAGAAGCAAAAGTCAACGCTGATGTAAACACCAAGTGAGGCTAGTAAAATACAGCGAAGGAAGGAAGGAAGGAAGGAAGGAAGGAAGGAAGGAAGGAAGGAAGGAAGGAAGGAAGGAAGGAAG